TATTGATAGAATGATTTATTTGGTTCTTTGTATTTTTGAGGTTTATTTTGACTATCTTGCTGTTTTTGTCTACATTCGGAAATACTATGTCCGTATCGTCGGCAATAATTACACCATTTTTTGAAAGATGGTTTGCCTTTAAAGTTCGGGTTCTTTTCGTAAATATTGAGTATTTCAGTGATTTTTTCAACGAGGTCTGTTTCTGATTCCTGTATATTATTAATATTAGTGGGAGTCGTTTCAATTTTGTTAACGTATTGTAATTTCAGATTTTCCGTTTCTTCTAGTTTCATCGTGATTTCTGCTTGTTCTAATTTGTCTACTAGTTTTCGAAAATCTAAATCGGGTTCTCGAATTGAAGAAGGATGGGATGCTCTCTTTTTTATTGCTATTTTCCTTAATTGTGGTGTTAAGGTCATCATTAAGATTTCTGTCATCTTTGTGTTTTTATAGTCATGTGTATTTAATGAATATGCTTTTCGAACTAGTGTTTCGATTCGTACTGCTATTTGCTTGATGGTTTCGTTTGGTAATCTGCGAATTTCATTACATAAAACTCTTTGTTGTTGTTTGTTTCTTTCGGAGTCAAACATTTTTGAAAATTCTTGTGTAAATCTTTTCCAGTTTGATTTTATTTCTAGAGGTAGTACTGAAAACCATTTTTGGGCTGCGCCATCTAAGGTTGTTTGTATTAACGCTGTGCGTCGATGTATCCAGTTTTGATGTAGTGGCGTATTAATGGGTTCAGGTCCTATATTTAAAATCAAATTTGCTGTTACTGCATTTAAATAATCTTCTACAGAGTATTCAGGGTCTGTTCCTGTGAAAACCATTAAAGGTTTATTTGATGTTATTGATGATCCACCCATAAGGTATGGATTCATTGTCATTTGTAATGATTCTGCTGCATTTGGCATTTGAGAAAAATTTGAAAGTTGGTTTCTTGTTATTTCATGTTGTTGGAGATAATATGGGAGTGGTATTTCATTTTGCATTTGTGATGGTTGATACGAGTGTGCAGTCATTGGATTTTGTTGTTGAATTGGTTGAAAAGATTGTGTATTAATTGGATTTTGTTGTTGAATTGGTTGTTGATTTTGTGCATCTATTGGTTGTGGAGAAAAATTTCTATGATTTGTACGTGTTCTCTGTATTCCTTGTCTACGATATTCTTGAGTATTTGGTGCAAATATATCTGGTTGTAAAAAATCATCATCTGAGGATAAATAATCCATTTGATAAGATGTTTGTTTTTTATTTTTATTTTGTTGAAAAAATGGGTAATTTTCACTGCGATCCTGTGGAGGATTTGGTTGAAAATTTATTGAATTATATTGGGCCGTTGGGTTATCCCAGTTTCGAGGTTTTGTATATTGATTAAAATTTCTTTGTGGTTGATTATATGTTTTTGATGGATGTGTATAATTATAATTATGGTCTGCAAAGTTGTTTCTAGTGAATGTTTTGCGTGTTTTTGATGGTATTGTCATGGGTCTGTATGTTTGGTAATCCATATGTGAATATTTAGGGGCAACCGAAGGTTTAACTGTTGATTGTAAGGTTACCTGTGTTTGTGAAGGATTTGTATTTCTTGGTGTTGTTAAATTTGGGCGTATTGGTGAAATACTTTGTTGTGTAGTTGTTGTGTGTACAATTTCTTCATTTATGAAGTGTGATGGTGTCTGGATATCTTGTTGAGTAAGATTCCTAGTTCCATTGAGGTTTTCGTTGTGTATGACTGTAGAGTTTAAACTATTATTTTGTGTATCGGGTAAAAATGTATTATAGTTTAATGGTGTTGCATCAATTGTTAATGGTATTACTCTTACATAATCTCTTATGTAAGATATCGTACTTATTGCTTGACTTGAGATTGATTGTGGAAAGCTTATAAATGCGGGATGAGACCATTCGGGGTCCCAAACATAATCTGATTGTTCTGTGATAGCGGTATCATCGTTCGAATTTTGGGGTCTAAAATTTTTTCTTGCTTGTGCAATTAAATCAATATTGTGTGTGAAATAATCTATTATGAACCATGCCAAAATTTTTTGTAAATCGTGTTTGGTATGTTGTGAAACGTCGTCTTTCGTGAAATTTTCTTTAATGATGTTTAAATAACTAGAGAGTAGTGTGATTTCATGTCGTACTCTTAAATGTTTAGATGTTTCTGTCGGTGAGACATTTGTTAATGGAAGTTCATTTTCTAATATCGAAATATAACTATATATTATTGCGAAAACTTCATTGGTGAAAATGGAGTTTGCTCTTTGTGAGTTATGGTATTGGATGCTTTTTATATATTCTGAAAAAACTTTTGAAAATTCTAAATCAAGATCGTCTGTTTGAATTGTATATTTTCTATTATTATGGTTTGGTGAGGTGAATTCTATGGAGTAGATTCCATACTGTTGTGTTATGTTGCATATATCTTTTAAGTAGTGATCTATGATTTGTCTTTTGATTTTTACATCGGGGAACTCTGTTTTACATGGACTGATTCCGGGTTCAAATAAATTTACGAGTAAATTTTGACAAAATATGTGTTGTCCTCTATCGGTATCTGCATCTACTATAAAAGGAAAGATTTCGTCATCATCTGGAGTTTCGTCACCTGGGGTGTGTGTTGAACTCATTTTTCCGTTCGATGACTGTTAATATGTAATTATTAATGTGTCGAATTGGTTGATTCCAATTGTATAGATGTACTGGTTTGTGTTTGTACTGTTTTTTTATTCTTCTTTTTCCTCTTTGTGATGAATTTGAAGTTGTTTCTGAGTCAGAAAAATATAATTGATCGTGAAGTGGGTAATTTTTATCTATTGATTCTTTTAGTTTGTAAAGTTCGTCTAAACTGTTGGTTTCTGATTCTGAAAATGCGTTTCGGTTTTTTGAAAATCTTTTTCGTGTTATTTGTCTTTGTTTAGTTATTATTTTCCTCTTTAGTGTTTGTCGTTTTGTGCGAATGTATCCAACTGTTTGTGTATGAGGTGTGATTACAAGGTCGTATTTTTTGTTATCTATTTCACAATTGTGTAAAATGATTGTTTGTTTATTTCCTAGGTTTTTAAATGACATAAGGTTTAGGATGACGGATGCAAAAAGTTGTTAAGTGAATTCTAATTACTTAAACTGTTAGTCCTTACGATTTTTTGGTTAGCTTAACCTGGGTCTATTTGTTCAGGGTTGGAGAGAAAAGTATATCGATTCCGAAGAATGATTTTTACTTTCTCGTGACTAGTATAAGCTAAGGTGTTAACTTACTTAATCTTACTTAGGGGTAGTGATTGTGTTCAAGGGTTGGAGAATAGTAAATCGATCCACAAGGTTCAGGTATAATTAGAACGCGAGTAGTTCGTTAGATACTATTTTAAACTTACTAAGTCTAAGATTTATCCTGGGTCTGGTAAGAGGGGGGGTCAAGTGAAGGATGAATAACCGAAGTTCTTCACTGTTTATCCTAATTTGAATGATTAGTTTTGTTTAAAAATTTCTATTAGTCTTGGGTCTTTAGAAAGGGTTGGGTAGTGAATCGACGTTTGAGGTCGTTAGACACTTATTAAGTGGGTGGGGGAGAACAAAGTTGTTCTGTTTGATCCAAGGATAAGCCTTGATGATCAAGTTTGAAATTTAATTAAGTAGAAAATGATTTAAGATCCAAGGATAAGCCTTGATGATCTGATTTTAAATTAAGTGACTTTAAGTTTTAATAAAGTTTTAAATTTGTGTAAAGGAAGGATTTAGTGTTTTATGATGTTAGTGAGTTGATGATTGCTGTTATGTTTTAGGTGATGAAGCTGGAACAACAGGATGATTTATGATTACTAACCATTTATTGTCATGCTACTAATTTTTATTTTTATTTTCCAATAAATATTTTTCAAACATGTTTTGTATATTACTGCAGAGTTTTAGGAAAACGATCTTAGATCTTTTTATCAATCGTTATTGTATAATATTAATTTTGTTTAGCGCCTGAAATGATTTTGAAGAGTAACTTCAAGGTTTTATGTTTGCAAATGGAAATCTAAATTCATTGCAAGTAGTATTCGAAATATAAAAGTTTGTTCTGGCTTTTGCCGAACTATCATATAACTATACGGCAAGTTTCTACTTTGTCGTATGTCGTCTTTGGTTCGAGGTCTTCTTCCAATTCCGGGTAGTTCTGTTATGGTTCGGAATATTGGCTCTGATCTATTGAGTCGGAGAGACATTTCAATTAAATTATTGTCGTATAACATTTTGTAAATGTTTTTGTCTAATTTCTAATCTATTTTTGGTTAATTCTAATCTATTAAGGTCTTGTTCGAGACTTATGGTCGCACCAGATGAGTTAGAACCGAAGTGTAACTCATAGAGTAATTTCGGATAGGGTACACCGTCTGCTCGTCACGCTATCTTATTTTCGGCCGGATAGATTCGTGCAACTTCTTAGTCTAATACCGATCCTAATCTTACTCTTATACTATCTAGTCTCAGGTTGTTTAACTAGTCTCTGCTAGGCTCAATAGATCTAGGGTATACTGGTTTATTGCGGCTGCTGAAGTGCTCGGGAGAGTCCAACTAATTTCTAAGTTAAATTCAAATCTCTCTGGTGCTGAAATTACAAGTAACTTCAGCACTTACAAATAAGTGGGTTGTTAGTTAGATGGATCATGATTGGTTAATATTAAATACTTTACATTGGTAAAACATTTAATTTATCCAATCATAAAATATAGTTTAGATCAGGTTCCAGTATTCTGGTCGACCAATTTCCGTGAACCAATTCATACATTAATTTTCTCGCCAAATCATCTAGCTAATTTTTAATTATTGCTGCCATGTACTCCGAATTATGAAAAAGTACATACATTATTACGCTGGACTATTCATGAAAGTGTTTGCTTTTTACTGTTTACATGCGCTCTAATATTTTTTCGAGGGGGAAGGGGTGATTTTCAAAAATTGCCGCATGCTATTGTTCGCAAACTAGGTCAAAAATGCCGTTTTCATTGTAGCTATCAATCCACAAAACAGATGATGACAAAACGCTACTCGTGATCAAAGGCGCGCCTGAACGAATTTCCGACATGTGTTCAACTATCATGATTAGCGGCGAAGAGGAAGACTTCGGGAAAATGAAACAGAACTCATTCGAAGAAGCTTATAGGGAATTGGGCGGGAAAGGCGAAAGGGTTCTAGGGTTTGCTCAGAAAGAGCTTGACCCCAAAGAGTTCCCTCCTGATTTCAAGTTCAATACGGATGACCCCAATTTCCCGATGGAGGACTTGTGCTTCGTGGGATTGATGTCGATGATTGATCCACCGAGAGCCGCGGTTCCAGATGCAGTCGCGAAGTGCCGCGATGCGGGGATTAAGATCATAATGGTGACTGGAGACCACCCGACAACTGCGAAGGCAATCGCAGAGCAAGTGGGCATTATAACTGATGACACAGAGACTACTGAAGATCCGAAGAAAGCAGCCCAAGATACAGGGGACGACGAGGATGATGACAAGGCTAGCAAAAAGTGAGAACAAATTGTTCAATTAAAAAGGCAGAATTTACTCTTAATGGGTTCAGTTGAAATTCTAAAGCCAGAAGTTTTGGCAAAAAAATAGATTTTTGAAAATTTAAAATGTTATATTATCAGTTTTGGCCAATAAATGATCTGCCAAGCGACAAGAAACGCCACAGACTAAACTAGGCGTGCTTTTTGGTGGCAGAAAAAACAGGACGCTCGCCATTTAGGAAGCCGAGGGCGGCTGTGATTCATGGAAACGACCTAAAAGACATGTCGGAAGATGATCTGGCCAATGTGTTGAAGAATAATGACGAGATAGTGTTTGCGAGGACATCTCCTCAGCAGAAGTTAAATATAGTCGAAGGGTGTCAGAGGGCGGGCAAGATAGTAGCTGTGACGGGCGATGGAGTCAATGACTCACCAGCCCTCAAAAAAGCTGATATTGGTTTGTGATTTTTTCATGCAGCAGGTTTGACCACCTCATGCTCATCGAACTTTCCAATTTTCTTCATTTGTCATTTGATTAGACGCAGATTTTTGTTCTCTCATTTAAGTTGCCATCGCAAGCTTGTTCTCAGAATGGTTTGAATTCTGGAAGCGCTCTTTCAGTTAATGTTTCTTCAGTTAAAGAGATTCGTAAAAGTTCAGCCTGTACACTAAGCTTCCTTCATTGTCACATTCGAAATTGGGCCCTTGGAAATCTACACTCGTTATTTGAGTTCTTGTCAAAAAAAAACAGTCTATCACATAATCATACGAGTTATAGGAATAGCGATGGGCATCTCTGGCTCCGATGTGTCCAAACAGGCTGCTGACATGATTCTGTTGGACGACAACTTCGCCTCAATCGTCACTGGGGTGGAAGAGGGCCGACTCATCTTCGACAACCTGAAGAAGTCCATCGCATACACTCTCTCCAGCAACATCCCCGAAATCACCCCCTTCTTAGGCGTGCACTTCTTTTTCTTTCTCACCCCTGTCAAAAAAACATATCATTCTACTTAAAAAACGTTTTCAAGTTTTGCATAAACCCATTTGCATTTTTTTGAAGTCCCTCTTGTCACATTTGGAAGTGGTTGATGAGGGGGGGGGGGGGGGGGTGTTTGAAGAAAACGAACAAATTTTTGTTGGAAATCTAACATTCAAATTACGATGGTCAAAGTAAGAATAACATTCTCATTTCAGCTTACGTTCTCTTCGCCATCCCCCTCCCTCTGAGCACAGTTACCATCCTGTTGATTGACGTGGGCACTGACTTGTGGCCTGCAATCGCATTAGCCTACGAGCCAGCCGAGAGTGACATCATGAAACGAAAGCCGAGAGACCCAGTCAACGACAGACTAGTGAACCACCGAATGATCACTTTGGTCTACGGCATGATTGGTTGGTTTGTGCGTCAAATTCAGGCCTCAACTTTGTTTGAAAACAAAAGGACTCATCTTTAGGTCGACCAAATTGATTTTCTGGTCTCTCCCAAATCACTATAAAGACCCAACTTTGATCAAAATGTCTGCGCAGCAGGGAAATTTTTGAAAAAAAAAACAGGCCAAAAAAGGAAGACTTTTGGATCAATAGGGGGTCGAATCCCTGAGGAAAGAACGCCCTGGCTTCCTTAAGGAAAACTCGTAGAGACTCAATCTAAATGTCATTTGAAAGCCCTTTCAAACGTGTTTCGACTTTCAAAAAACTTGAAGATAGGCTTTGGCTATTTTACTTATATTCACTCTCTTTATATTAAGTCTTTTTTTCCATAAATCATTTCTGTGGTAGAAAAGTTCTGTGCCAGTTGCACAGCAACCGGTTGGCCTTCGTTTTTCACTTATTGAGTCAATAAGTGAAAAAAGAAGGGCAATCGGTTGCTGTGCAATAGCACAGATACTTTTCTACCATAGATTTGGCCCCCTACCGATCCAAAAGTCTTCATTTTTTTTACCTGTTTTGTTTTTCAAATTTTTGCCTGCTGCGCAGACATTTTGATACCAATTGGGTCTTTATATTGATTTGTGAGAGGTCAGAAAATCAATTTGGTCGGCGTAAAAGAAGTCGACAATGTTTTCATCGTCGGTTAACCTCGAGTCTGCTGGTATGCGGTAGAATGCTAACATGTATATGTGTAGTATAGCGTTTAAAACTATATGTTTTATTTACTAGCTGGTCATCAGAAAAATCAATTTCAATTACTACATTAATGAACTACCAGTTGAAATAACAAACGTTTCGCCTCAAATCCTGCCAACCCAACTTCGATCTCTAATCCTGTCAACTTCGATCTCAACTTCGATCTCAATTCCCTAGAATCAAAATCGTCTAGCTCATCAAGTTTTTGGGATTGATGGATTCCTAAATACTGACCTAATTCTAATTCGGCGATATGCTGTGCGTTTAGTTTTCAAAAATTCTCGACCCAATGACTACAAATATTGAGTTTATTCGGCGTTATGCTTCCAAAATCAGTATTTGGGATTGACGCAATCCCAAATACTGACCTAATTTGGCGATATGCTGTGTGTTGTGTTTCTATGCACTCTCAAAACAATGACTACAAATACTGACTTTTTTCGTCGTTTTGCTTCCAAAACCAGTACTTGGGATTGACGCAATCTCAAAGCCTGACCTAATTTGGCGATTTGCTGTGTTTTGTATTTCCATACACTCTCAACTCAATGACTCCAAAAGTTCAATTTAATCGGTGTTGTGTTTTTTTTTAAACTACTAAAAAGTGGCATCTACCGACTTAGTTAACAAATGTTTTGAGATTTGTTCGGGAATTCCGCTGACAAGGGTTAAATCCTTGACTTTAAATTCCGCATTGCTATAGATAAAAATTCCAGTTTTTTTTTTCATAGGCAAGTTCAGTAATAAACAAAACTCTTAGGCAAACCTTCAAACATGTTCCAAATTGTAAGTGGATTCCACTTACAAAACGTCCGTGGATTCCGCGTACAAATACCTGTAATGTAAGTTTTGTCGGCACATTTGTTGTGTCGCGGATTCCGGAACAAGCGAAAATAGGTAGTTGATCTGGATTCCGCATCAGCTTGCGGAATTCACTTACATATGCAGATTGAGCTTAAAAATTGAGCTTACATTTGCGGGTTGAGCTTACAGTTGCGGCATCCAGAAAAACTAGCTATTTTCGCTTGCTGCGGAATCCCCGACACAACAAATGTGCCGACAAAATTTACATTACAGGTATTTTTACGCGGAATCCACGGAAATTTTGCAATTAGAATCCACGTACAATTTGGAACATGTGTAAAGGTTTGCCCATGGAGTCCAGACACATAAAGACACAAAATTGTGCGCCTATCCAGTGCACAGTTTGGCCTCGTAATATTTCACTGTAATAAACTGAACTTCCTTACTTTCAGAAATACTTTCTGTTGCAGGTATCATGCAGGCGGCAGCTGGTTTCTTTGCTTATTTTGTGGTTATGGGTGTGAATGGATTCCAACCAGACATCCTGTTTGGACTGCGGGATGAGTGGGAGGATGAGAATGTGAACAATCTGCAGGACTCATTGGGACAACGCTGGGTGAGAAAAGATCCTCTTTGCAGCATAACTATTCACTTTTGTCGTTTTTTAACATTTGTTCCACCGTTCCACCAGCGGACTTAAAGAAGCGGACGGGGTAGGGGTCAAACGCCTTTTTCCCTGCCGACCCAGAGGCTACTTTTTTCAGATCTTCAATTTTGACTGACGGACCCTAAAAGATTTCTAAGAGTGCCTTCGGTGCTAACATATACTAACTTTGAGGGGGACGCGCGCGCCGTAAAAACGCAACTTTTTGGTCAAAACTTTCAAAAAATACCCTAAAACGCTCATTTTGGCATGATTTTTCAAAACTTTTAAAAATTTTCTGAAAATCAGTTTAGTCGGCCTAGAAAAAAATTGATAACATTTCGAAAATATTTTGAAAATCCGCCTCTATTTCTGCCTCGTTTCGGTTCTGAAGCAGATCGGTTTTGGGTAGCTGGCCGATTGACAACATTTCAATTCATACGTAAATTAACGGTAATTTTCGAAAATTACAAGTCAACAAAGAATAACGAACTGCCATAAATTTCGGTATTTAAAAGCAGAATTCTATGTCATAAAATGCGCAAAATGAAAACATTAAAAAATCAACTTTAAAATGGTGCCTGAACAATTTGTGAACTTTGTTTCAATCTTTCAGTTTTCGCCTTTTTTCACTCACTGGTCTTCGTTCATCAGAAAATTCACTGGTTACGACCTTGGTTTTTCTCGCTATGAATTCTAGCGAGAACAGCCTCCCCTCGAGAAAATCTTAGATCCACCCCTGATCTCAATTATCATAAGGGTTTTAAAATTCATAAGTCGCACTGCAGTATAACAATTTGAAAAAAAATAAGCCGAGTAGGTACCTTGAACTTTTGGTATTTGAGTAACGTCAACTCAAAATGATGACATTTGAGCTGTTTTGAAACAAAAAAAAACAAACAAAAAAAAAAGAATTTTTTTCATTCGTTTTTTTTGTGCGTGGTTTGAGCAGCTAAATTTAAAATATCCAAAAAATTTTATCACTTAGTTTCCTTATCAAACAGTTATCTGAAGTAAATTTAATCACAAAAATAGAAAAAAAAAGAATTTAAGAAAAACATTTTTTTTTCGTAGGTTAATAGATTCGTTTAGCGGCTGCAACTGTTTTTGCTCAGCAACTCTCAGCAAAAACTTCCAAAAAAGTTTCCCACAGCTAAGTACTAAATATTTTTTTCCTTATTTTTGTTAACAAAAAATTAGTTTGAGAAAAAACTAAAAATAGCCGCATAATAAGCTTTTCGCGCTACTCGCTCGCGTACTCGCTCCAAATTAGACTAAAAATCAAAACTTTCCAACCGATGTGTCTGTCTCAGCACGAGAAATTTTTTGAAAGGCGATTGACGCACGACTTATAAGTTTTAGTATGATACGTCAATCAGTCTATTCTGAGGAGTATTTATGGTACATGCGTGAAAAAGAACAAAAAAGACAAAAAATAAAACAAACAAAGACAAAGTTCCTCCAGTGTATGACTCTGTTGTAGTCGTATAGCCAACGAAAAATACTGGAGCAGACATGCAACACTGCCTTCTTCGTCAGCATAGTCATAGTACAGTGGGCTGACCTCATCATCTCAAAGACGAGGAGGAACTCCCTTTTCGTGCAGGGACTCACGTCCAACATGGTTCTCCTAGCCGGACTGGTGTTCGAGACGGCCCTCTGTCTCTTCCTCTGCTACTGTCCCGGCATGGACAGCATAGGACTCCAGCCTATTCAGTTAGTACAATTAGAATCAGTGCCCCATCACTAAGACGACAGCTGTTAATACGACCAGATATAACTTGAGACTCTATAAAATAGGTTCAAGAAAAATGCAAATTTTTTTTGTTTTTGTCGCGGACTAGTTCTGTAGGGGCAAAATGAGTTCAACTAGACATGTGAACTAAGAGGGTGACAGTAAAGGAGTGTAGGGGACATTAAACCGTTCCAAAACCTAAATATCTCACAGGAGATGAGAGAGGTAATGAGAGCTTTTGATGGTTTGTTTCTGTTACAGAACACCTGGCTTTCATTACCATACACCGAACATTGGTCGTTACATAAAGTCTGATATCCATTACACATAAAAGGCTACTTAGCTGAAATAATTGATCTGCTCGCTAAGGTAAATAAAAATGTCTTTTCAAAATTGACTTGATTAAACTTGGGTTTTTAACTTTTTTTTTGGTTTTTAATGTTGTCTGCGTATTGTTTTGAAAGTTTTTGACACGTGCTTCAAAGTTTCGAGAACAAAGCCGGGTCCACATGCAGGTTGCAAGTTCGGAAAATGGTTAGCCGGCGACCAGTTGAAATCATATTCGTAATCAATTGTTCATTTTTCGTTAATGAAGTTGTTGTTGATGGGAGATGGTTTCTTCTGAGTCTCCCAAAGTAAAGAGAGTTTTATAGCGTGTCTTGCGAGTCTTCCATGTTTGTTTTGTACTTCACACAATTTGACTATTCCATCTGACCCGGGGTACCCGTCCTAGGAGCAAAAGACCGCGAGGCGGGAGGATTTTGAGTATCCACACACGGTCTCCTTATTGTAAGTTCTCGCCTCCTGTTTTTGTCGTTGACTGAGTTTAGGCAGCTATTTGTGTAGAAGATGTTTCAAGCCTTGCTGGATGAGTGAGTGTTTTCATGAAGCAGAGATTGTTAAATGTCATCGCTGAAACAAAACAGGTAGCAGGTTCACAGATGGTCGTCCAAGTTGATTGGGCATGAGAGGTCCCCAATTTGTCGGGTCTGTTGACACGTTATTAGGGGCGAGAGTTGATGACTGCTTCTACTTCGCAGAAGAACGCAGAAAAACACTTGTCGTTAAGGATGCGTGATCTAATTACTTGGTGGAGAGAATCCGTGAAAGTCAAGGAAAATGTAGATTTCAGTATGCACTGCTCAAACAACCACGCAGGTGAAGAGTAAATTTTTTCTTTCGAAAAAAGTTCCATTGTTTTTTGTTGGTTGCGAAGGGTTCAATGAAGTCACTTCCTGGTGCGAGGGAGGGTTAATTGTTTTAAGATGCTTGCAGTCTAACGAGAAGCAAGTCGGTCATTTGAGGCGTGTTTTGTTCTTGGCGTTGTCTGTGGCACGGTAGGCACTGTCGGATAGATTTTTCGGAGTTTTCCAAGAGTTAGAAATCTAGAAGACTTGTTGCTGCTATATGAAATGCTGCAGTTAGAGATACATAGACTGTTTTTTCGCGTCTAAGGGTACCGGGTGGCGGCTGGGGAGAAGACTTACTGCTTTGCTGAGTCGTCCCTTCGTTCAAAGAGATTCATGTTTATCGTAGAATGGGCAGAGTGTATGTGGTCGGCTGAGGGCGGGTCTGGGTAACTTTTTGTCAAACAGCAGTCAATTTAACTTCGGAACCAGCCAATTTAGCATCTCTTAACAATAAACGCGAAGATATTGTTGACGTCCAGAAGTGTTATCTGGCCTTGGTTTCTCGCTTCGAGGTTCATTTTACTGAACTTGACATGGACTGTTAATTTTAGAGCTCCTCATTCCACATGCTGAATCGGAGGTCGTCAGTTACTGACAAAACTGTCTTCTGAGAATATTTATTGGCTGATTTCTTTAGTTCGAATATTGGTCGAAGGCTGTAATTTCAAATGTGCGGGCCAAACTGATTACCGTCGTCCAAGATGAAATTAGGCGGTTGGGAATGAAGATCAGTTCGCGCTGACTTGGTGAGTTGATCCATTGTAGAAAGTTCGTACTGTTAGCTCAGACTGTAAGACTGCTGATCTGAAGTCGAGCTGCTCTATGACAAAGTATGCAAGGTTAGTTCTGGAAGAGGTATTGTCATTTTTTTTGAGGTAGGCTACTGGTGCTTTTCTCATTAAGAACCCTACTTCCACTGTTTGGTTTGCATTTGTGATCCTGAAAAAAAAAAGTTGAAACAAAGGCAAGCTCCTTGTCGTTGTCAAATATATGAAATTGTGTGTCGAGAATTTTCATTATCGTTCTAAAGTAGTTTTTAACAGGTACTTATCACTGGTTGGTTGTAATTGTCAAACCACTCGATTAAATCCGTCAGTTGTTCCAGGTTGAGGGATTTGTCCCATCGAGGTTCAGCGCTCCAGATAAGTTGAAGCCATTTCCAAAGTCGTATGGTCAATGGCGTGTTTGATGGAACTGAATCGAAGATAAAAACAAAAATATCAGCAGAATGCACTGCTGGGTGACGTGCTTTTTGTCGATGGTGTGGAATTTCTTAGCTTCCAAAAGACAAAAAGCTTGTGTCGGGCTTTACCTTGACTGCTTAAGCACTGAGAGATTTTTGTCTGATGTGAGGCAGTCGCTAATTCTTATGTGGTGGTCATTGTGGTTGTGGTCCTAAAAAATAAGAGATGAAAATCTACTGTGTCAAGTTGAAACCTCAGTAGAAGAAGAGTGAGAGAGGTTGAGGGGGGGGGGGGGGGGGGGGGTGGAGGAGTCCTTGCAGATCCCCATGTTTTAAGATAGGGAGTGGAACATCCGGTCTGCAAGCTATGTATTGAGATAGGGAATAGATTTTCTAATGCATTAAGTTAGGGTAAAGGTTTCCCAATGTTTTAAGATAGGGAATGGTATGGTTTCAAAGTTGGGAGAATGGTAAGAAAAACGGTATTTTTTGGTTTTTAATTTTTATCGCAGTAGTCTTGGCGCGCGTTATGTAACTGTAAAATATCAGTATTGAGTGTAGATTGTGTGATGAAGGTATTATTTTTTTGGTTCATGGTAACTCAATGGTATGTGCAAAAACTTAGATTTTTGTACCGAAAAATTTAAAATTTTTCAAAAAACTTTGAAACACCATAAAGTTAGATATAATTTGGCTTAATAACTAATTTATTGGTTGATCTTATTTTCTAAAACAGTAATCTATCAAAAAAAAAATTTAAAAGACAAAGTATATTAATCACTGCTTCGTATAATCATTTTACCGCAAGCTTTCAGTGAATTAATCAATACTCCATTGAATGCTGCTACACTATAAGTTATTTACAAATTCGAAAGTTTGTGAGTGTATTCCGTCATACTGAACTTGTCTTTTAGGGAAAAAAACTCAACCCCTTCTCTGTCTGCTCGTACGTAGCAACCATTTGATTAATGCTTCTAAATTCTCTGCTTGTTGAAGTCAAGTTGATTGCTTCTATGAGTTTTTTCCTGTATTTTGCCATAGATCTATCGCCGGGTTCCTCTAAAACTGTTTAGTGCAACCATTTGCTGCTTATTTTCATCTCGTCTGTTTTGTTGTCATTGCAACAATAAGTCTTGCTACTTAAACATAGCATCTCCGCACATCTAAATTATTCTTTGAACAGTCAAGATCTCGTTTATCGTGCTTTTTGTGAACGCTAGAACATGTTCGTGGAAAAAAGTTTGTTTTCAAATCTTCTCAAAATGAATCTCTACAATCAGTTTCTTTCATTTTTCCCCGTCATTTTTTTTCTCCGAACGAATACAATCAAACATATTTGTTTCAGCAAGAGCTAAATACAGCAAAACCGTATCCATTTCTGATTCTTCGACTTTATTTACATCACAAAACATGTCAAAAAATGTAGCAAAGGTCCAGCATTCTCAACTTTGCATATTACAGAATGAAAAATCCGAAAGTTATGGGCTCTCTGTGCTCGATTGTAGACTTTAGTAACTCAGTCTCGTACAAGTCTTTCAGAACAGTGTTCAACCGTTTGAAGAGGGGTTATTTAATTGCTTTAAGTTTTTCCTCATCATTTAAGTAATTTGTGATGTATCGGTCTATCCATTATCTGGTAACCGTAAGATGAATTACCTAAAAGTTTCATAGTCTCTGCAACAACCCCAAATAAAGAGTTCTCGTCTCCTTCCCTTCTATCATCAACAATCGACTGAACAAATTTTTGAAGCATTTTTGAGGTGAATACTGTACAAAGCTGTAAATTTTGTACAATGTAAACCAGGTTCATTGCAGCAAAAGAAGAGAGGAGTAATGATAGAACCATTTTATAGTTTGAAACTAGATATTAACATTCACTGGGGATGTTCAAAAAAAAATTTTCAATGGCGTAATTGTCCATATATTCCCCGATATACTTTCTTCCAAATTCAGTTTTTTAAATTTGAAGGAAAATTAGCAAGCTTTGATTTCAGTTGATCTGGAAAAATTAAGTCACACTGAAATAACCATAAAAGGATCCACCTTTTTTCTCCAATAACGAAGAATACATTGGAAAAAGAAGTTTCTTCAACTTGATGTTTCTTAACTTGAAGTTTCATCAAGGCTTGTTGTTCATCAAGTTCACTTGATCCTAACTTCTGATAATCCCTAAAGTCATTATCAAGAGGGTTGTTGTTTCTCAGTTTACTGAAAAAGGCTTCGTATGGATGTAATTTTTGATACTTGAGCTTGTGCGCACTATCAAACGACTCGTAAAGGAGAAACCCATTTTGTCTCCCTTGTTTGATAGGCTTTAAGAAAGGAGTGTAAAGATTTACTCCACCCAATCCTGTTGACATATCTTGACACATTGGAAAGGGATAAAGCTAGCACGCATCAATTCTAACAATTGATTTGCAGATATTTGGCGAATCCATGATAAAGATTTTGTCCACAACAGCTTTTCGCGTAAATACAACTGATGTTCAATCCGCCATAACTTCTCTAGTTTTCTCGCAAAAATCTCTATTGTCTTCACAAAATGGGTAAAATTTTTCATTGGTTCACTTGTGCGGACAAAATTTGCCAGATTTGGAAGAGTACATCC